GGCGGCGGCTCGGGCGCCGCCATGGCGGGCAGGGCGTGCCCGGGGTACGGCGGCCGCGCGGGGCCAGAACGCCACCGAGGCAAGCTCCGCGCTCCGGAGCGGGTACAGTAAACCTCCGAATTGTCAATTGTTTGGCACGGGAAATCCTCCATTTCACTACTCACGTGTTTCAAGGAAACCTCCACAGGCTTTGCGCTCTATCCAGGGCTGACGACAAAACATGGGGCAGTTAAAACAAAGATCAAGCGTTTGTGCACCATTTTATATAAGTTTCAATATAAAAAAAAACCATTAAAATGCTTTGTATAACAAACACACTGTCACAAAAAAGACTGTACTCTCCAAAGAGGTACCCACAGAAAGTTTTCTGTGCTAATATAACAGTGGTATTATTTACCTCCTGATTTCAGTCATTGAAACATTTGCAGTTGCACTCTTTTTTTATGACATGAAAGAGAACGTTGCTCACAAAGAGAAAATACGAGTTTATGATCAACTTGACCTGTTCTGCTTTGTTCTTTCTTCGGTTTCACAGGCAGAGAACAGGCTAAGAACAAGCTGTCCTAGCATGAGAGGGAGAACAGAGTACATCTTGAAGCTAGAAGTACAGGAAGAATTAACAGCAAACACATCTAAAAGTTTCTTGCACTGTCTCCATTCATTTGGACAGTATTTCAAATGTCCTCTTTAGCCAGTGGTATTTGGATTAAACAACATCTTTAGAAGCTTTACAGCATTTGGAGATACAGGAATTTCCTTCAATCACTAGGAATTAACATATAGGATGAGAGACTTAACTCCATTTGGATACAGACTCCTCACAGCACCGCCGACCTTTCCCAAAAACTCTGAGTACAGTTCACCATTGCTCATCTTTAAAAACAAAAGGCAGCAGGGCAGGAACTCTTCATGGCTTATCCATATCACCCACGGAATATAAAGCAAAATTTCTCTCTGCTTTGAATTTCTGAAGATACTGTCCCTCGATGACATCTTCTGCTGCAACCTCAGGTGGGTCATTAAGTCCTAATGAGCAGTGATGGTTTACTGACTTAGGCTGAGGTACAAATTTGTCCCTGTAATTGCTTTTTCCTCTCAGATCCCAGTGTACTCAGTGCCTTGCATGAATGTGGCAAGACACATCTGGTGCCAAGTGTGTGTCTTGACTTCAAAAACAGCATGAAATACTCAGAATTCACATGGCAGCAACAAGTAACCCATGTTTTTAAGAATCTTATTTATTTGTTTTTGTAAACAACCTCATTTTTAAAGAAATTAAAAATACATTGAAAAGTCTCTCTCTACATATATACACAGTACATGTTCAAATTTCACTTCATTGTGATGCCATGGTTTAAGCAGAAAAACAAAGAGTGCTTTGATCCAAAACTCAGCTGCAATACCACCACCTCTTGGGGCACAGCACCTTCCTGCCCTTCCAGGAACACTTCACCTTTATCACCTGCACCACTTCACTTGTTCCTGATCACCTGGACAGTTTTTCTGCCATAGTGGTAATAGCTGTAGGCAGATGTCACCGTTGTGAAAGCTGTGATGCACCTTTTGGGGAAAAGAGCTCCTGTAAGTCATGTGGGCCTATGGACAACATAAAAAGTCCTTTTTGTTTTTTCTTTTTTAGCATCTAACTACACAGTGAGGTGCTGTGCACCACAAAAATGCAGCTTACAATTTTATGCTGAAATTCAGTGCTATGGGGAGGATTAGATAAACAAAGGGTCTTCCATCCAATGGTAAGCAGCATGTTTCAGTGAAACTGCATACCAGGACAAATTTTCACCACACTAGCACTTGTTTTAGAGAAGGGAAAATAAAATATTCAGCATTTGCAGCCTACATAATTTTTACCAGCTTGAGAACTGGCAGATGTGAGAAACTATTTCTTGGCAGTGTGAACAGGGAGCATTCAAACCACTCAAGACTTGAGATTACCATTTTCACCAGGTTCCAAAGCTAAAGAACAAGGTCCTGCTTCAGCCTCTTTTGCTCCCTTCCAGACCACAGCTATACCTAAATGAGCAGTGCTCCCCTGTGTGAAAGGCTGACACCACCCCTGAGGTAGGAGTCACTGCTACAGCCCTCCCTGAGCACTCTGCCAGGGAGAGTGCTCTGAGAATATTCACAGAGCACCCTGGCAAATTACACCCAGAGGCAACGCTAGATTTTGTTTTACCACCAGGATAAAAAACCACAGACTGTTAAGATCAAGGTTCATTCATAGTTCCTTAAACACTTATTGGTTTGGGTTGGTGGTTTTGGTTTCTTTGGTTTGGTTGGGTTTTATATTTTCCTAGAAGACAAGTAACACTGGATTTTGCACTACTTTAAACTAAGTTCCTAAGTAATTCTGACATCTGCTGCTCAGAACCCTTTGTTCTGAACTCTTACCAAGCCTAGCAGGAATCACCATTTCTCCATGTGCTTTTCTAAGAGGATTTCCAGATAGAAGGTACAGTAGAAACCAAAATAAGAATGGCTATTTTTACTGATCCCAAGGTTGCTTTTTCAAGGACACTTATGGCATGAATAAATGAGGAATACATACAGCCTTTCTTCCTGCTCCTTTCTTCTCCACTGATCTGAATTTATGTTTTGCCTGTGTACATCATGCCTACCCCAAAGACTTGTTTCTAAGCTATTATTCCTGGATCTTAACTAGTTTCATGTGACCACCTTTTGCTTGTGTAGTAAATTAAGTACAAATAAATATCTAATTCTGGTGTCATTTAAGACTAAAGGTGTAAAAATTCAAGCATACAGGCTTATTACATCTTCTGGGCACAGTTTTTTTGTTCCACACAAATTAATCTCGATTACCAGTTTCTTTACGAGCGCATTAAATTATCTGGGGGGAAAAAAAATTAAGATATTAGTTACCATAATGTCTGCAGATATATGCTGTCCACATAATTGAAAACAGGAGCTGCTAAAGAAGCCGCCACCAAAATCAGCTGAACTGCTGTGTTCATCTGAAAAAAGCAAAACAGGAACTGTTGAGCAACAAAAGTAGTACAGTGCAAGGAATACACATACACTTTTATTACTGCTTTAAGGATTAGCCTACACAAGGAAAATTTATTTAGAAACCTTTTTAAAAATAAGCATTTTACTCTCTCAAAATTAGCATGTGCTCTGACAGAGTATAGTTGAAAACCTTTCATGATCTGTGCACTGTTTTGAAACTTGTACTCGGCAGCAGTGGTAAATTATCCCCACCCTCTAAACCACACAATGCCCCAAGTACCCAGGAGTTGTCTTTTGTAATGAGTTACTACTCTTACCTTGCTAATGAATGTTGGTTTTAATTGTGCAGTAGCATAACAGGGGTTAAAATACCTACTCAGTGTTCTCTGTTGGGGGAGAAAAGAGGAAAAAAAATGCAACCCTTGCATATTGAATTTGATATACCAGTTCACATGATAAAGAAAAGGCAACTGTAGCACTAAAGAATTACACTGCTCTTTTGTAAGATTTATTATTACACATCACACACCGGAAAAAAGTTATCAGTAGTTCTGACTTATCTTTACAAACCATATTTTATTAAACACTGCTCTGCTCAGAAATCTATCTGGCAAAAGAACCAGCATTACATCTTGTGCATTAAGTCTCAAGATGACAAATCTCTTGGTCACAACTTTGCTAAAAGCTTATTAATTTACTTTTTGTTCTGATTACACGTTTTTAACGCCGTGCACTTACCGGTGGAGAAAGAGTTTTGTACCGCACGTAAAAAACCGCAGCAATGAGCGCCGCATCCCGCAGGATAATCATGGAAGTCAGTGGAACTGGAAATTCAAGCCAACAGCATCCAGTGAAAAACTGTGTCCGTGATTAAAGGTAAAACGCAACCAAAAGAGCAGAAAATTGGAAGCAAGACAAAATAAGCGCTCCCAAATTCTCCTGAATGAGTTCTATGCTCTACTGAGGATGTTTAACACAACTCCTGAAAGGGCCTGAGCTGAAGTCTTAAAACAATCCAGCCCATCAAACACAACTTTATAGAGCTACCAACTATTATTGCTTTAAAGGAAGAGCACTTTAAAATGTCAGTACAGGCTAGCTGGTTTTTTTTTATGTGGCAGCACTTGCTTTCTGTGGGGTCCCTCTGGAAGTGTTTAATGGGAGCAAAGAGCAACTGGCAAAGCAAGAGTTTCAAGAGTTACACAGTTTTCCTCCTAGAAACACAAGAAATGTTGCTACACATAAATCGACCTTCTTTACCTTATCTAGAACACACAACTGACATAAACTCACCTGGGATAAGATTTGCACAAGTTAGGCTCACGTAGAGCACACTGATAAGAATTTTATCTGCCAGGGGATCGAGAGCACTTCCCAGTGCTGATTTCTGATTAGCCCAGTTCCGTGCAATAAATCCATCCAACTAGGAAAATCAAAATTCAACAGCTCTCTGTTAGAAGAGTATGAACCAAAGCAGCTCAGGTACACTACTTTAGAGAGGTATTTAATGAATAACACCAGGTAAAACAGGGAGTTTAACCATAATAAAATGTGATGCCTCTTAGGTGATACTTGTATCATTTAAAAGACCACCAGATGCACAAGCGCTGAGTGGCCAATGCCCACCTGGGGCTGGTCAGGGAGCCCTAACATTCCCCTTTCCTCCATTAGCATTAAGTCCCCTTCAGGCCCCTGCCAATTCCCTTTGCAGCACCACAAAGGACATAAATAGAGCATTCCCAGAAATCACCAAATCTAAAACCAAATCTGTTTTACCCAATTCCACGCTACACTGAAGTCTGCCTCAATGCATGCCCACGGCATCACCTCGAGCCCGGTGTCCCCAAAGCTTTCCCAAACTGATGCAGACATACCAGGTCTGTCACGCCAGCCAGGACAAAGACACCGAGGGCAACGCTGAAATTCTCCTCGACAATCAAATAGCCTAAAACTGGCGCCAGACCCATTCTCGCCATGGACAGCATATTTGGGATGGTCCAGGGGTTTTCATACTGTAAAGCAAGAAACGTAAAAACTTCAGGGCATGAACGCAACCCCCACTTTGGCACTTAACGGAGTTTTAATCGCGACAAATACTTTTCGCAAGTGAACCAGACAGAAAGCCTGGAAAGTTCTTGGAAGCAGCCCGCTGCTTGCACAAGGCACATGGCCTCGACCCGCTAAACATTAACTCCGCCTTCAACGGGAAATCGCCCCGCCGCCAGAGCGCCCACGAAGAGCCCGTCCGGTAGCCCCGGCTGTGACACCTGCCAGCCCCCCCGTCCCCGCTGTCACTCACGTACCAGCTCGGCGTAGGGCCCCGCC